CAACGCTGGCGGCTCGGCCTGCAAAATATGGCCATGCAGTTTGGAGGCGTGTGGTCAGCACCGCTGGGCCAACTCCCAGCATTAGCTCTTCTTAACTCGGGTAAGCAAAACAATCCTTTTTGGCGGCTCTGGTCCTCAGTTCAGGCAATGATAAGCCAAGCTGCTACCGAAGCCGACGCGCGTGACGAAGGCCTCCTGTCGTGAGCAAGAGTTGCATGTGCATTTTCACTGTTGGCGTAGAGCCTAGGGTAATACGCGTCCACTGCTTCGACAACGACACCTGAAGTAGAGGGATTTTGGTACAACACCTACTTCCAGGGCTTGGCTGATCCCTGCTTCCGCTAGCTTTGCAGTATGGTGGTCGGATCCCATGTGCAATGAAGAGACTGAGATGGTGTTTGCCAAGTAGCAACTTGGAATTAAGAGAAGTGATAGCAGCAGCAACAGTAGTCGACCGGCTAGAGGGCTTCGATGGAACTTGGACGGCAAAGTAATCAGTCCTTGCTGCATGCAGTGCCCTCCGCAGGCGCCATGCTCCCTACCATCACGGGTCTACAAACACGAGGAACCCCCTGCCACTCTTAAGAAAGTCTCTGACTGCGGGCATCTTCCATGCTCATGCCTGCCAGGAATCTCAGCCGAAACAGCTTCAAGACGGCGACAATGTATAGTTTGTAATGCTGTGGCGGTCGATACCCACAAGAATAGGCAGCTGGTCCGACAAAGGCGATTGATTTGCACACCTTGCCAGTTTACATCAGACGAGGGCAGCGTTGGTCCACGGTCTGCAAGCCGTGCTCGCGTCGGCCTTCGTTGCGCCGTAGCGGTGTAACATGGTGCAACCATCGTGAGCAATGCTTCCTTGTCTGACAAGAGTCTAGACTCAAAATAGACTCAAGATTCTAGATGCTACACAGAGACGCCACAGACCATCACCAACAAGCATCTTGCAGGCAATGTCGTGAAAACTACAGCAGCCAAGTCGGAAAGGATTTGGGATCTCCATCGGGTAAATGCGGTTGGATGTGTTGCAGACAGAACCTACATGCACGGCAGACCCTCTCCTCGCCTCGAGATGACCTCAAGCCTCCAGCTGCGTGTCGACTTTTTCCATCCTGGAGCCTCAGCACCACGTGCACTGTCAAAGGTTCCTTTAGCCCCCGAAGCTCAGAGCTCAGAGCCTGCCTCAAATCCGGAATGCCAGACCCATCGCGATTCTGCCGGTCGGGAGTCGGGCCACGTAGATCCCCACATGATGGCATGCTGGAATTGATTCGCATCCCCTGATCCCACAGTTCTGTCAGGTGACGCTAACCTTGCCGCACTGCGCAAACACCGGGCAACCTCATCGTAACCACGGGAGCTCTTCTTTGTGGCTTGACGCTCCGACAGGTGAGCCGAAATGGCCCGTGCGAGCATCGCGCAGCATCGTACATAACGGGCGAATCGCAACCCCACCTCACCAAATCAGAAGCCAAACAAGCAGCTTCTACAGAAGGCTCATTCTGATAAGTCTTATATGATTATCTTATGCTTATGATGAGCTGAAGATGATCAATGGCAAATATTTCTGTGATTTTTATAGTCTGCGGCTAGCTTTGAATCTGCTCCGCCGGAGAACCTTTGTTACCAGTTGGGCTTCCGAACGGTGTATCCCACGCTCTTCTCAGGCTTCTGGTGAGCTGCTCGAAGTGCATCGAGTCGCGCCTGTGCAAAAGCGTTTGCACATGCTGTTGGATGCGTAGCTCTCGATCGCAAAGATTCGGACTCAAACCCCGAACAAAGCACCTTTGCTTGCTGGAAGCGCCCAGCGTCGTTCACTTCTGGAGTGTTGCCAGGCCTTCGTGTCACGCAAATGTTAGCATTTGCTCAGGATTGGACATGTTTGCTACAAGGACCACGTGGCAATGCTCTGTGCGATTCCTAGCTCTGTCATTCTCGAATGAGCACACCCGCTGTCAATGCTCTTCTTCCGCTGCAATTGTAGGGTTTCGCGTGCCTACACCATGTGTTTATCTGGTGTGCAAGGCCATGCGTATCTGTTTGCTCGTCCCTGCTTTGCATTGCTACACTGTCTTGCCGTTGCTGTCACCAAATGGCTCAGCGGCTCAGCACCCGACACAGCCACCGGGACCGCACTGCTGCGTAATAGCTTCTCACGCTCCTGAAGAGATCACTTGCGCCTCTTCCGCAACCATATGGGACTTGCAATCCCAGGCTCATTCAGGCTCCGATCTCTACAAGCAGGAGTCAATCTTCTGAGTTAAGGTGGCCAGGACCCAGGAGCGGACTGCTTAACCTGCACTGGCCTACTGCACCCTGAAGACAAACCGGCAGCTCTCAACGACGTCCCGTTCGAGCAGTGATCGTTCTTTGCACTTCCAGCCTCGGCGGCAGATCCCGTTCGAGGTAGCACCACGGGCACCTGGCCACGGCTATCATCTTCTGAGGCAGGGCACTCGTGCCGCCCCGATTTTTGAGCTCATACCAGGACCGGAAGGCCAAAGGCAAGCCGAGGCCTCCCAAAGCAAAAATTAAAATCAAGGGTTGCCTTTGGTGCCTCTTGCTCTTTGCTCGCCCTTGGATCGAAAGAATCGACAAAGCACAGTCATCAGGTACCCTGGAGGAAGTCCCTGGCGTTTACAAGGGCAGGAAAGCTAGCGGACTGTTGCCGCACTGTCATCGTTGCCAGCGCTAACCTGAACTGCGCCGCACACTTCACGCACACTTCGGGGAGTAACCACCACGCAAGACCCATCCCGAACGGCTATGTCATGCCAACCCCAAAGCCGCCCAGCCCCTTGGCTTAAAGTCAGTGCCGATCCCATCTCGCACATGGTGTGCCCTCCGTGGCAGCATCGCTTTCACTCACAGCGTCAATGTCATCCAGCTCACGACTGCAATTATCAGCTTGATAAGCATTGATGCACTTTTCTCAGGCTGCCGGGTGTCTTTTTATCTTTCTTCTTATCTTTTTTCTTCTTCTTGTCCTGGAAACTCTATGTGCTCTGTAACAACCATCTGTTGCAAAGAGGCCGGGTCAATCACATTTTGTGCAGGTACGCACCTTCTTTTTCTTCTTATCCTTCTCTTTCTTCTTCTCCTTCTTGGACTTCTTCTTGTCCTCGCCATGGCATGAGAAAAAACAAGCCTCTAAGCCCAAAGCTTTAAACCAACAGGGCCTTCTTCTCCTCGGAGGAGTCGGAGTCCGAAGAGGAGCTTGAAGATCTGCTTCTCTTTCCCATAGCCAGATGACAGAGGCTAGAGGTGTCAAGATCCTTATACACTACATACCAGTAAGTGAGGGAGTTTGCTGTGCAAGGCAATGCTTTCGAGGGCTGGGTCTGGCTCACTTCTTCCTCACGCAGGGAGGAATTCCGCAGGTGTCGTCGTCTTGACTGCTATTGCAGGAACATAACTTGCTCAGCCTAATGTCAATAATAGGCACTTCCCGATAAGTTGCGAGTTACATGGCGGTACAAGGAGTACTGGATCGATTCCAAGTCGTCGCAAGAAGTGAAGGCGCATGTTTGTTCCGCCGAGACTCTTCAGCGAGGGGTCAGCAGCAGGCGGGAAACTAGCCACTGCTTCTGAGCAAACTGTCTCGCACAGACATCCCAATGCTCAGGCACTCTCTTTCAAGAGATGTGCAAGCCTTTGGGGGGTGCTTCCGAGGCTCGAGCCCATCGGACACATACGATGTCAGCTTGACCGAGGCTGTCCTATGTCTGCCCTTTCTTATGTGGTGCGTTGTGTATGCAGGGTTCACCTGATGGTGTGTCTTGTAGTCACTGCTGCAATAGCGACGATGTGCCCAGATGATAACTCGGCAAGCCATGCTGCACCGTGCACTGCAGCCGTACTGCCAGGTTCGCAGACCCCATCTTCACAGCAACGCCCTGTGACTCTTCCATGGTCCATGGTGGGGTTTGCAGTCCACGTCAGCCGGCCGAGCTAAGAAAAACATCGATGCTTTGGCCGCTCAGGGAGATATTGAATGCTCCTAGCTGCCAGTTTCTGGCACGAGCATGCAGGCATGCTCAAAGGAAGGAAGCTCAGCATCAGGGACAGCTGGCTCGCCCAGTGCAGTCTAGAAGCGATAAGGAGTTTTCCTTCCAGCCGAGTTCCAACGAAGCTGGAAGATTCGACTGATTCGACATTAGGCCCGGCACTCAATGCACCGTCTTCCTGAAGGGATTTGGCGACATGTTATATGCAGTGGTGAGGATGCTGGGTGGCTGTGTGGTAGCGCGATAGTTCGGGGAGCAGCGAGTCTCCCACATGCTGTGTTTCCAATGAACACTGAGCCCTAATATAATATATATTCTATTATATATTATATATTATATGTTATATGTTATATGTTATATATTATATATTATATATTATAAACCCGTGATGCCTGTCAAATCCCCCAACAGTGCCCCGGCCAGTCGGCTTGTGCGCGACCTTGCGGTGCCAACTTTGGCCCAATGAAGCAGCGTTACTGTGAGGGACTCGTTTGAGCAATGGTGGGGGGCGCTTCAGCTCTGTATGATCCATTCCTTTTGGCGGAGGGCCAAGGATTGTGGCCGGGTTTGCTTCGCAATCTCCAGCTTCCGCAAACAACCTTAGCCTACTGGTAAGGGTTGAAGTCATTGAAGTCTATTTACCTCCGATTGCTTGATGTGTTTGCGGACCAGCAGCCTTAGCAGGCAGCTGAATTTTTGAAATCACTTGTACAGGATTCTGCAATCCCTGCCGGCGCGTTCAGCACCATTTCGCTGAACTCGCTCATCTTTTCCCGACTCATAAATCCGCGTGCTGCGCCACTTTCTCGCAGCCTTCGGTCGCAGGAAGTTCTGAGCTTCAGCTTGGGATATGGCCCGTGATCGACCCAAGCAACAGGGTCTTTTTTGTAAGGACCCCGGAGTCATATAATACCTAAAATAAAAATAAATAAAATACACCGATCGTCAAGGAGCCCTAACTTGGACTCATTAACTGCTGGCCCAGCCGCTTCAGGAGGTAAAATCTCCTCAGAATAGGTCGTGCCGCTGAGACTATCCTAGGCCCCTCGCAGCAGGAAGTGAGCTGCTTCCAGATGGGTCAGTGCGACCACACTTGGGTGGTGGTCAAAATCATGGTCCCTTTTTGGGTCCTTATTATAATACGCACCTATTATTTAGGGTACCCCAAAAGGGACCATAATTTTGACAACAACCCACTTAAGACCTATAAGGTATGCCGAGATTCCCAACAGCTTCTGCAAGGATTCGAAGGAGACGCGCACGCGCCCTTCACCACCTCAGCTTTCTCCGAGCCCAGCTTCCTGCAGCCCTGCAGCTGTGGACCGTCGATTTAGCCGGCTGAAAGTCATAGCCGAGCTGCTTATGTTGTCGAAGGCTTTTCGCGCTGCTTTCGCAGCCCGGAGGCGCTTGGACTCGCTCGAGGGGCAAACATCCTGCAGCCAGGGATTGAACTGCGAGCTGTCGTTGTGCGAGGCACCAGTAGCTGAGCGCAGAAGAAATGCTTCACACAAGTGCTTCTGTGATGTGCCACACTCAAGCATTTCGCCCTCTGGGGATCGACAGTCTCGTGGAGAAAATGTGGAGCTACCCACGAACATTTCGATGGCCCGAGAAGAGCGAGACACGGAGAGGGGCAGCAAGAGGCACAGAAGGCATGACAGCAACAAGCCAGGCAAGAAATCGGGGCTCTTTAGAGCAGGGAGACACTGTGATTGATCCACAGCTGCACGACAGGGATACAGATTTTGACTCTCGCAACTCGCACAGGGCAGGCAAGGCTCACCAATTATGGATTTCAGGAACTTCCTACGTGCAAGGCTGCTGTGCAGAGGGTCCTCGTCTGAGGAGTCTGGCACACGATCACTCTTCTGCTGAGTCACTGAATGCCTGTCTTTCCTTGCCGGGGCCAAGCAGATGAAGCAGCTCAGTCTGATTGTGGCAAAACCGTACGTTGTACCGCCGACAATGATAGCAGAACGCGCGCTCTCGCGCTCTGTCTTCTCACGTGCATGAACGTAGTTCGAAGTAGCCTGAAATGAAACTCCGGCGAAGCACCCGCCCCCGAAGATCCAAGGCACTTTTCCAGCTGCTGCTGCGCATGCGACAGTCTGGATCCAGCTCTCTCCAGCAAGCGCTGCAACTCTGCGCGGCTTACGAAGCCATCGCCTGCATCGTCCATGTCAGGTGCTAGAGGCTAGCGGGTAGTGTTCCGGGACAGGCAACTCGTGCGAATTTTTCTCAGATTTCAATCTACAAGTCTTGGCGACCAAGGAGCCGTTCTCATCCAGCCTGACACGAGTCCAGGCTAGCATAATCAGGCTAGTGCAATGTAAGGACATAATGCTAAGGCATGAGATGTGGCCAGAAGCAGCTAAACCTTCATGTCTGCAAAGTGAACGGCTGAAAGCCTGTCGAAGCTGCTTCGAAGCAGTTTGGCCTCGAGATGCGATTCCAATACCCGTGGGCGAAAATGTGGGCACGACTTTATCGCCGATTGCATGTCAAGGGGCGGTGAGGAGCTCTCGACACGACGGAACCAACGCGGCCACGAAGCCTGGCATATCCGACCGCTGGGCTCCTCCTCTTCCCCTGCCTACTGTTCCTACCCGCCGGTTCTTGCTGCGAGAACGAGTTTGAGACTTTGAGACTGATGACGACGACCGCGACTCTCACACCAGCGAGTGTTTGTTTGAAGCTGCTCAAGGCAACAACAGGCATGAACTCGTGTTGATAGCTTGTGATAGTATGCCCTTGCACCTAGCCGCCTGGGCATCGTGTTTGTATTGTGGTGAACTAAAAGTAGACGTGAGCCTGTCGTGCTATCTGCTCTGACTTGACTGTAACGACTCACACTCAACGACAGCTGGTCGCACGCTGTAGCACACGCTTGGTGCAAGGTCACCTCCTTTAAAAAAACTGCAGGAACAAACACACTGCTTGCCGAGATGGAGCAGATTCTGAGAATGGACTGCACTTCAACTCCGAAGCACTGATATCAAGGTCAAGAGCCCGAGAGGCGGGAGAATTCCACAGAGCCACCGCCATCGTCCAAGAGCCGAACGGCGGCTTGACGTGCGGGCTCGGGCTCCAACCCTGCCTCAGGACAAGTTGAACAAGACTTACTGACACTGAAAATATTATTGAATGTTTCTTATGATGCGGATTTTTCTTTAGAGGAGACGATCCCTTCCACAGTTGAGCGTTGGGTCGGAGCTTCGGATTCCCATGCCACTCGGGCAACGATGGGCCTGGTGCCAGCCGCTAAGGCTCGTCTAAAGGCAGCACACGGTGGCCGGCACCCCGAGTCCCAACCAACATGCGCACGGGAATAACGAGGCCTACCTCCCCAGTTCCCCAGTGAATGCGGCCCTGTGGAAAGTGGAAAGTTAAGGTCGAATCTGTACGAGCATGCGCATCGCGGGAGCTTCGGAATCGCCAGGTGCACCAGCCGCGCGCTTCACAAGGACAGCAACATCCCTTCACTGTGAGGGTAAGACCTTCACGTACACTGTTGCCGAGCTCTTCGGGCAATGTGCACATGCAACCGTGAACATCGATCCGCGGATTCTCACTTGTGCTCATACACAGCCATACACACGTGTGACAGTGGGGGAAATTGAAAGCTGACAAAATGCCGCTAATATGTGATATAGGTATATCTTGACTAACCTTGACGACTGTACTAGTTCTGATTCCGCACTCCATCCAAAAGTTCTGAGCTTCTAAATGTAAGCTATCCATCTATCTAATGTAGGACATGAAGCCGTCACCCCGGCTAAGCTTCGATGGACAGTTCCCGATTCGGGCGCTGTTTGTGCCCTGAAATGAACACGCCTTCATGAGCGCTTCGGTGAGCTCTCCCCGATCCAGCATTCCGTTTCCGTCCTGCTCATTGATCAGCTGCCGTTTATCTGGAAGTTACAGGTTTGGCCCCTTGATGCCCCTTGTACCTATTTGCTCTGGCCGCTAAGTTAACAGGCGGCCGACCTGGGATCCCAATTTCAAAGCCCACTACCCGCACCAACGGCACAAAACAAAACAACTGCAGTGGAAGGGCCAGCAGGCTTTCAATTGTAAGTCCTTGTCCATGGACTCGAAGAGCTGTGTCAGCTCCCGCAGCTGTGCAAGTGGCAGCTGCGATGCCATGTCCAGCAGCACCGCCTGTCATCAAGTACGGCCCTGCGCTTTTTGCGAGTGAAGCACGGGGATGCATTCTTCCACTTCTCTTCAAGATCCTCGCCTGCGCCAGCGCGTTGGTCCGGTGAAACTGAAGCAAACCTCAAATCACAGGTCCCATGACAAGCATAGGTTTTTCTCCCACTGCTGCCAGTCCCGAATTCACTTGTTGCTGCGGCCATCGGGTGGTTCCTAGACACTGAATGTGATGATGTACGAGATGCAAAGCCCAGGACCTGGACTTCGCACCCCTCCATCGCAGCCTAGCAGCTATCCACTTGGCCGGCTCCTAGCAAAGTGATCTTGCAACTTTGCACTCTCACGATCCGTATGGAAGCTCTTTCCACAAACAGAAACTCTGAGGCTCATCCCCTCACCGAAAAGTCCTACGACGCGACAGCACTTCAAGATCTGCAAAGCCGTCTGTACAACGTCATGACTAACTCATGCTGAGGCAACTTCTGGTCTTTGCGTGGTTGCTCCTGAAATTCATATTAACTCAATCTCAGAAGCCGTAACGAACAAGGTATTGCTGCACCCAAGCCGTCGGGGTCTCCTAAAACCTGCTCCCGCTCCCGGGACTCTTGTAGCCACCGGTGAGTTAGGACGGCCATCAGGTGCGGCCTGGCTTGAGATGGGTTTCTGGATAATGGGCGCCTGTCTGGGTTCAGGATTAAGCTTGGGCTGCTGTGTTGGGTGTGGTGTGCAGCCGAATCCGGTATCTGCGCCATGGCCGTGCTCTTGCAGAGGTCGATGTTCTGACTTTCCACATTAAACCGCAAGAAGCTGACCAGCCTGGAAGGTTCATCAAATGTCAGGAGCTCCTTGACCAAGTCCTGGGATACAAGCGGATCCGCCTCTAGGATGCGCAAAGCCACAGGTGCACAACCATCCATCCGAAACGACGGCAATGATTACAACTGCACTTCCGGAAACGGCCAATCAAACCGGAGGACGTGCCGGACTGCGCTGGCTATCGTGTCGCCAGCTGTAACAAGCTAGTTGGTAACAACTCCAGCACAACACCAACTCTAGTCATGATGCCCTGCACCAAACCTTTTGACTAATGCGGCAACAGCCAGAGGCCTGGTTCTTCTCTCCACTTCACTTGACGTAAAACGATCTTCCTCATCATCCCAAATTCGACAAGGCCCCAAATCTAAGCCTCCAAGTGACCTGAAAGGCCACTATATACGGTAGAATCCTCATGCGTTTGAGGCAAAGCAAATAATATAGGGGATCCCAGCACTAATCATCCTAAATCCGTGCTTCTGGTGTTCACCGCTAGCGATCTCTGCGCGCAATACCATCCGCTCTTTCGACACCGAGCGGCGTCAGCAACTGCGGAGCAGCGCAGGCGAGCCAAATCTGGGCCCCGCCTCTGCCGCTCGATGTAAGCCTTGAGCTCCTCGCGAAAGTGATTTCCCAACTGTCGAGGGTCCACTATGTGCATCGCTCGTAGTAAAGGAAGGTTGACATTGCAGTGTGATGCTATACACTGTCCATGTAAGCCCCTTCACTGTGAACTCTTGCATTCTCCAATGGCGAGTCTCTGCAAACAGTGTCTTTTCATTTGTTTGGACTTGAACCTAAAAGTCCAGCTCCAGTTAGAATCAGCATCCCATTATCCCATTTCAGCCGGGGCTCTGCGCGAGACTCGCCAAGGGGTGGCCTGAATGGATAGAAGTAGTTGTAGTAACCTGGGCTGCGCAAAGCCAAGTCTCCATCATAAAGGAACAAGAGCAACAGGCCATAAACGAAACCGAACAGAAGTGCTTGGACCAAAATTTTCCTGCCACCCCGATTCTGGCTGAGGGGCAGCTGGGGTCGTCATCTTCGGGCTTCGCATCCTCCGGGAGGGGCGAGTCTCTCAGTCGTCTTGGCCGTGTGCACAGCAGCGCATAGAGACCTTTCCACGCAGCAAGAAATGCTTGGAGCAGCCAGACTTGGCATCCTGCCCGGAATCGCACATAAGCATCAATGTCAGATTCTGGGAGGCCCAATATGCAGAAAAGCTGCAGCAGCCCAATGACCACCTTAGTTCGACATTCGCGTGTCAGCGCGCCTAGACAATGGAGGTGCGAACATGAAGGTTAGAAGCAAAAGTAAACAGTCCGAAGGAGGCTTTGCACATCGGCGCTCGGAAGGGGAGTGGCTGACCATGGGCAGCTGGGCTTTGTGGCGTACACAAGCAGTCACAAGCATGACTGTGTGTGTGTGTGTGTGTCTGTCTATGTATTCATCTATCTATCTATTATCTATCTATCATCTATCTGACTATATATCTATATCTATGTGCTCTTTGTGTTTAAACTTGCAGGGCCAATGTGTATTGTGATTCGTATTTGTCTCTCGCTAGGCGTTTGCTCGCTTGTACGCGCGCATGGATGTCTTGCCCGAGGAGAGGGAGGAGGAGGAGGAGGAGGAGATGTGCAAGCGAATATATATATATATATATATATATATACATATACATACATACATATATATATATATTGCATTCAAGGGCAGATGGTCACAGCCAACAAGTAGCAGCACACGACCATGACAGAGAGTGAAACGAATACCTACAAAATGTGAAAAACACAGAAACACACATAGACATCATCAAAGCCACATCCGCAAGTATACCTGCGCGTGTCGCTATATATATATATATGTATGTGTGTGTATATATATATATATATATGTACTTTTGTACATGTATGTATATGATAGAGGCAGAAGCCGAGGACATGTCAAGCCTCTGTGAAGTCCTCGCAGGTGCACTGAGCTCGCGGCACATCGCACTTTGCCTGGGCATCAGGGGATTGAGCACCAGTAAGTCAGGCCACTGGATCTTGTGAATATGGGGCTGAAGACGGGTGCAACAACCCCAC